ATTTTTAAATAAAAGTATCTGTATCTATTCTTTTTTATAATAATTTTTAGCTAGTCAGAACTTTTGTTGTCAAAGAAAAGTATTCAAATCTAAGCGACAAAAGTAAGAAACACTATTAAATGAAACTCATTAAACCAGTAAACTCCACATGGCCATCAGTACGATGTTGCTGTTGATCACTGCATCAGTTTTATTTTCACTAGCCGGAAATCCCCTTTTCACACATATAGAAGGTGCAGGTAAGTGTGTAAGCTATTGGGGTCATTCCAGAATTGGAGGACATTTCATGTCCCCCATATAAAAAATCTAATAATCCATGCCCAAAATGCTAAAACATGCACTTGTTGTGTTAAACATACTTGTCTTGAGACAAAATGTATATAAAGTTGTAGAAAAAGTGGTTTCAAAATATTACCCTTGTGTGGTGTTCGGGTCAAATTGACCCGATTTCCATTTTCAATGAATACAAACAAATATAAGGATATTTTCGTTCAACCTGAAACTCAATGGCCGGGGCTTATTTATTGTGAAGGACATGTGGAATTGTTTTTATTTTTTTCCACTTATGAAAAAATGCCCACCCGCATTTATGTCCTTCATAAGAGGTTCGGGTCAATTTGACCCGGATACAATACCAGAACAGACAGAGAAAAACACACAGAAACACACACACACACACACACACACACACACACACACACACACACACACACACACACACACACACACACACACACACACACACACACACACACACACAATTGTATGCATAGACAAGCTGTTTGATCCTGTTTTCCCTTGATCTTTACCCTTTGTAGTGTGTACACAAAACTATCCTAGAACATTATAAACATTTTAGATCTTCCAGAAATGTATAAACATTTTACATTTTCTCGCACTGTCCCCCCTCGCACCTGCATGCCGGAGGAGGGACTAAACAGAGACATAACCTCAGTGTAGTAACAGTATAGTGCAGAACTACAATTATCTACCAACAAAATGGCCAAAAGATATTCTGCTCAGAGCCTTGGAGCTAATAATGGATGAGAGTGAGTGGATTGCATTAGAAGAACACGGTGAAGTGGGACAGGAAGACATTTCTGAAGATGAGGATAATGTGGAGGTAAACTCAGAATTTGACAGCAAATTGTAAGATGAACTTGACTCATAGACAGCTGCTGGAAGACCCCCACAGCCAGCTGTGAGGTCTGTGGACCCTCAAAGGACTCCAAGACACAGACTACATGCAGCAACTGCAACAAGTACATCTGTGCTATACACACGAAGAAGTTCTGTACATCATGTGTTTCCTAAAGGGACTTGCCCATTGACTCACATGATGTTCAGCAGCGTCACTTCATCAATAAATGTTTCGGATATACTGTATTTTATGAATATGGATGTTTCATTCTCTCTATATTTCACAGCCAAATATTTTTGGCTGTGTGGTTCTTGTGTTCCAATTGCTGCTAAATTGCTTTATTTCCTTCAGGGCTTTGATTATTATATGACAGATTAAAAATAATAAACATTAATGAAAAAATGTATAATTTACATTTGTCCTAGAAAAGCATGAGCAAAATGTAAAATTAGTTTTTTTTACAGTGTATTTTTTTTTAACATAAATTACATTTTTATCACAAAAAACTATGGACACTTCCATTGTTAAATTTGATCTAGCAAAGAGTATTTTCAAACACTAATCATATATTTCATTTATATTGTTGGGGAATGAGTTAAAGACAATATATATAAGGAATTGTGCATGTTGAATTTAGTTCTGTATTTTTTTTAAACCTTGAAATATGTCCCGGGTCAATTTGACCCGAACATTACCAAAGGGTACGAAATATGAACATAACACAAGGGTTAAATTATCAAATAGCTCTCGAACATCCCCTTAAATGAAATTGTTCTCTTGTCCCCGCTTCTTGGTGACCAACTTGCATGTCAAATATAACATTTAAAATAGGGATTTTATTTACATTTTTGGTATTATTCTATTGATATATGTCTCTTGTAATGGTAAAATCAATTTGTTCAGTCATAAACATATTTTAAATAACAGTAATTTTGCACAGAAGGTGTGTCCCTCAACATGCGTTCAACCCTGTTACCCAAACCTTTTTAGATTGGCACAGGAAGTGCAAAAACCGTAAATCAGGTGACACAGTGGAAGTGACATCAGCAAGCCATGTGCTAGTGCCATGGGTAGACCAAAACTAAGTCCGCTCTTTTATTTTTCATATTTTTACAATCTTTTCAGTCTTAAAAGAGTGTGGCACTCTGACCCACTCAACGCTGTTACTGATATTATCAGAATAAAGCATATTCATTTCAAAGTTATCTTTCTTGCATTAGATATCCAAGTTTGTCCTTGCCTTGAAAGTAGCATTACATGCTACATCTAGCAATAATTCCTGAGGTTAAAGCTCAAATTAGCATTGATTTTCAACCCTGTTACTATAATTAGAGTAACAGGGGTAATTCTTCATTGGAAAATATACATTTGATGCCTAGCTGGGCAAATCACTTTTTTTGATGGTTTATTATCTGTTTTTCCTAAATACATAAAAAAAAATGGTGTAATGTTTTCTATTTGAAGTCAGTTTACGGTCAAAACCTACTCTTTTGGGTGCTTGCATTCATTAGCACTACTTAGTGCTTGTTGGCTTACACGCAACTGGTGAATTCAGAATGCACTTTTGCACCCGACATTTCACTTAGGATGTATCGCAATATGATATCACTGCAATTTAAAAGCAGCAGGTGAAAATGGTGCCTTGTTCCGCCTGTACAACAAGTCCTCATCTGCTATCATTGAGTAAATGGTTGATCGTTTTGGACAGCAGGTCTCCGCTGCACCGTCAGACCCACCAGAGGCCTTACGCAATAGCCTCGTCATTAGGATTATATAATTCCTTAATTCTTTTCACTTCATGCCAGTGAGTGGCAAACCTTTGGATGCTGAAAACCAATAATGATAACTTACAAAGCATTATTAAATATATCTGTGCACACTGTTTCAGATTAGTCTTCAGCAGGCAGTTAGTTATGACCTCGCCATGAAAAGAACATGTTGTAGGATTTATATGCTTGTCATATGCAAGGTCAAGCACATCCCTCAGACTTGCATTGCTCTGAGAAAAGTTTGCCATCTGCAGGTTCTGTCCCACTTCCAGACATGTTTAGGCAATAAGTCATTTTGACTGAATGGTTACAATTTGTGAACTTCACCGCAGCTCTCCTTCACCGTCAAAATCATCACACTGCTTTCACGGAAGTAACAAAAAATGCAGAGGCTGAGTAACAGAGACGTCACATCTATAAGACGGTTGGGAACCAAGTCTGTGATGAAAGGATAAAGCTGTGTATGCTGCAGCTCAGTCATGTTAAAAACGTTCACTTACTTATACACCAAATTGTATAACTTAAATGACTGAAAACCTTCATTACACTCTTTCATTTGACACATGTTTTTGTCTGAACACAGCACGAGACATGCATTTAGGCCAAGCCCATACAGTTCCAGCTATTTATACTGTTGCAGTCTGTGAATGTGTCCCAGATATTTTGTTCTGATATAACACCCTTTCTAAATATGTACAGGAAAGACTTTATCCAGACTACACACACTTCCTCCTGAGCAATAAAAATGATGTGTACAAACTTTCTCTAAGTGTCAGTCCCTGAGATAAACCAGGGGGTGTTTCTGAGCTTTTACAAAGGGTAAAAGAATACAAATGCTACACTTTTACTTGTATTAGTTTTATCTTTGTTGAGATCATATTCTTGCCTATACCTGTTTTCCTTCCGGATCCTAACCTCATGTTTCTTTGCTCTGCATGATCTGAAGGTCAACTTGATTAGCCTGTTGTTAATAGATGGGGGATTTAGTCAGAGAGGCGTCATCGGCATCATTGACAGGATCTCTCTGGCCAGCGCTGGCTGTCAATTTCTTTGGAACAGGGCACCGGGCACAAACAGGACACACAGTGAAATGTTGAGTAAAACATCATTTCAAAGGTTCCAGAATTTCTAAACAGAAAAGGGACAATAATGTTCACCCCAAGCCGGAGCTTTGTAGCAGTTTCATTGGCTAATGTGGAAAAAGCCCGGAGGCAGCTCCCACTTCCTATGTAGAACCAAATCAAATCGGCTCACTGCCTCCCTTCGGACGTGTCTGATCAATAGATCCCTCGACTACGTCTCATGCTGGCATAATGCAGCCGTGGATGGAAACTAACTAAATTTGCTGACAGATGTGTCATAGAGCAAACCCAACCATCACTTCTGATACAACTAGATCCCATGTTGTGCATATTTATGCTGATTTACAAAAATGATGGACCTTACAATGCTGACTGGGTCCTGTTGTGTATTACGCAATATGTGTGTCCATGTGGTAGAGAGATCCCCTTTTTGTCATCTATTTTGGAAATCTAAGAAAGAAATATAATACATTGAATTAACAAATACATGTTCAGGACAGGATGATGACTCCTATTGTTTATTTGTGGCTTTGAAAAATATGTTTTCTACAATATAAACCCACGCTTATTTCTAAATGCCTCTGTAGTTTAGAAATCATTTATTTTCTACAGTTTACAAAAATGGAGTGAATGAGGCATTATTTTCATTGCCATTACAAAAAGAAGAATCCTTCCAGCGTAGCCGACTGATATACTAGGGGTTTTCGATGGGCCTTCACAGAAATGGAGTGATTCAGTTTGGTGAAATAGAGCTAATGATGGGGTGAGCTCTGACAGATAACAACAATTAGTGGAGCACATCTAAAACAGTCGAGCCAGCCTCCAGATGTCACCGATTTTGGGTCAAAATTAGATGCATTGCTTAAGGGAGTCTAATCATTAATAATACATGTACAGGTCATACACAAAGTATCATCCACTGAATCGTACTTTTTTAACAATTAATTCACAATTTGTAATGATTTTTTTCACATTTTTATTGAAAAAAGGACAAACTGTTTTCACCAACTGCAATATAATTATACAGTGTTTATTTACAAAAGATTAAAAAAAAGCCTGTACAGTCTCTGGTTTGTGCAGGAAGGTAGTAGGACCTTGGTAGAAAAATAAAGACCTAAGACAGGAGAGGTGTCAATGTGAGATCAGATCAACATTTTTAATTGATTGATTTCCTTAACTTAGAGGTGGAAATGTAATCCAAGCATGAATGTGTCACAATAAGAGTTCAAGCATTGTAGCTCAATCTCCTGTAAGACGGAAGTCAAGTGTGCTGCATTCTTTTTGACTGTACCATTTATCAGCAAAGGTCCATTCAGACAAATAACTTCACAAGACCTGCGGTGGTTAGGTGTGAGGGGAAACTACTATGTGTCCAAATTCTGGACCACTTCCACACCAAACACATTGATTTTAAATAAAGCAGACTATGTCAGCATCATCTCAATTAATGCAATGTTTCAACGACCAACCACTGTTAGATGAGCAAAAGCTACAGTTTTTAGGTCAGCATCCACTAACAGATTTTTTTACGGTTGTTGTCTCATATATGTATGAACACATTTGGCTTCGGGTATTAAAACAATTTCTGCTGAAGTTGGGGGAATTCTCTGGTCAGGAATAAAATGCACTTAAGCTTTGGAAAACCCACTGACAGAATCATGCTCGTCTACATCTAGCAATAACATTAGAGGCTGCATCTGCAATCTTCAAAACCGATACTTTAAATTACAAATAATACATTTTGGCTCCTAGATTTCCATCTAAACATACAATGTGTAACTTAGCAGCACTTATCATCAACATTCATAACCTCAGCTCACGATTGAGCTTCCACGACCTGTATTGCACATAAGAACATGAAGTCCTGCAAAGACCTTAAGGAGTGGCATTACATTTCACAGTGAATCTCTTCTTAATGCCTATTCTTCCTGTGACATCTATTGCAGTGTGTGCCTCCACCAGGACTGAGACTTTTGTTAAGGCACACGTTGCAAGAGATGCTATACTTAGACAATGTGATGGGCTGAGGAGAAGAGTGTGCTCTTTCCTGCAAATAAGAGTGTACTTGCACATTGACATTTAACAGGGTAGGTGATGAGTTGAGGGTGAGGACACAATGAAAAACGAATAAATAGCTTGCACAATACAGGGCTCCTTAGGTGAAATAAATTAATGAACTTTGGAGACTTGCCATGTGTGAGCTATTTGTTTTTCACATCTCTTTCCTGCGTCACGCAATGAGAGTAACGCCATGCAAGACCACATGGAAGAGAACTGTTATTATACTTTGCTAAGAGACCAGCTCATTAACAAACAGCAGCCTTTGTGCAGGTGGTTTAATGGGTCAACATATTTGTAGTAGCCATTGAAACAAGATTATTTAAGTGAAATGACAAAATCAAATATGGAGGAAGGTTGTCATTCAAGTGTCAACGTTTCAGGTTCAAATGTTAATTTTGATCTATATTTTTGTTTATGAAGTCACAACCTTGTGTGACATTTAGGCTACTAATAATATCTATTATACCCAGGACAAATATGCCCTTTAGAATTATGAACTGTATTTTCCATTAAATTGTGGTAATTGTGAGTAACTGGCTATTTTACTAAACCTCTTTAAGAAGGGCACACTGCACAGTGTGTCACTGAAGGCATCTAACCCATTTCATCCCTTTAGATCCATCCAAGCAGGTCATTTATCACCAGTTTAATCATAAACAATATACCATATCTGGATTCCCATGGTGTTGCGTCCGTGAGCTTTTGCATAGAGAACTTTTTTACCCAATTATTTTTTAACAAACCGTCATGCATAACAAACAACAGCCAACAGGGTAAAATGTAAAAGTTTTAAAATACCATGTGGTAGTTTTTAACCGTTCTTTATCCCTGCAGTCATATTTCAGATTCTGCTGTCAAAGGCCTTGATTCTAAGGGCAAAGAGTCCAGATTGCACTCAGAGTCTGACACCACATCTGTATTTGTGTCCTCAAGTGCAAATACCTCAACAGCCTTTATCTCCCTGATTTCATCCTCCTCCTCGAACTCCTCCTCCATCTCAACTTTTTCGAGAGCCACCTCGTTCTCGTAGCAAAAGGAGTTCCTCGTCGAGTTGGAGGCGCTGGATTTCCTCTCGGCTAGTTCTCTTGCACTACAGTGGGGTGTGCTGGGCACCTCATACGTGTTTTCAAATCGAGAGTAGTCCACTTTGTAGTAGTTCTTTTCTTCGAAGAGCACTGGCTCAAAGCGATAGCCCCAGAGGATCTCGCTGGCCAAGTAAGAGCTCCGACACTGAGTGGTCATGGCTGTAGCCTCAACCATGCCCTCCAGAATCACCACAATCTCAAACTCTGACGTCTCCAACTCCTGTTTGCTCATATCATAGAATGGGCTGTCCTCATCAATCTCATGAACAATGGTGATTGGAGATACCAGGAAAATTCTATCAATGCCACTATCGAAACCGATGTCAATGTCTACCTGATCCAGAGGGATGAACTCTCCCTCTGCGGTGGTGCGGGACTTGAGCAGCTGGGCCCTGACATGCGCCTCCACCAAGTGGCTCTTCCTAAGGTTTGCCACGCGCCACATCAAGCAAGGTTTACCATCCCTCATGGCCACTGTAGCATAATGGCTGAACACCAGGGTTTCATTCCTCTTTTTGGGTTTGGCCATCTTGGCCATGACAGCACCGATGATGAAAGCGTCGATGATGCATCCCACAATGCTTTGGAAGACGACCATAAAGACCGCAATGGGGCACTCCTCCGTCACATAGCGATATCCATAGCCAATGGTGGTTTGGGTCTCCACTGAGAACAAGAAGGCAGCGGTAAAGCTGTCCACATTGGAAACACACATCTGAGTCGAATTGTTTAAATCCCCGTAACAGAGGGCCACTAACCAGAAGATAAAGCCAAAGAACAACCACGACAGCAGGAAAGAAAGGCAGAATATGAGCACCATCCAGCGCCAGCGGACGTCCACGCAGGTAGTGAAGATATCTGCCAGGTACCGCTGGCCTTTCTCACTCATATTGATAAACTGCACATTGCAGTGGCCATCCTTCCTGACAAAGCGGCTCTGTTGGTGGTGCGCTGAGGGCACCTTTTTGACATTTCCGTTTCCATAGCCATTTGGTACGGCAATAGTGGCCAACTTCATGCCATCTTCCTCAGAGGAGACGATGCTGTAACGGTGGCTTCGCACACTCCCCATGACTTCCGCCTGGGAGGGCTGGGCCGAATCTGCTTTTGAAAACAGTCTAAGTTTTTGGTAGAAGCGTTGGAGAAACAGTTTTGAATGATCCTGGGGATAAACTCAAGAAGAAAATGTGGACAACAGGACTAGACCCTAAGGGGACCAATGGAGGGCGGGTCCGTGCTGCTGCAGGCGGGTTGTGCACCTTTGGTGAGGGCAGGTCATTCCTATCTGATGGCTGCTTTGGACCTCATCAGTGAAGTGGGCTGCTGAAATGAACAAGAGAGAAAAAACGCTTTAAAGTAATCAGCAGGAACCAGAGCAAAGATCAGTGTATGTGGGTGTGTGGTTACCTGCCGTCTAAATAATGTAGTGCACACTCATAGTTATCTGTGCTATTCTTACCTACACTGACGATAAACAAATGTGTGTGGTGCAGTCAGAAAGCACAGGAAATGCGTAGTGCATTACAAGTAGATTAACTAACTATTATTCAAGCACTTTGATAGCTGCCAAAGAAGGATAGGATGTGTTCCTTGCTAAACGTAAGTATTAAATAGGCAGCTCAGACCATGGGGAGCTGAATCAAATTACAGACCAAGTTCATGTTAATCTATTGAGCCACTGAATAAAGACATGTTGTAGCTCTTTGCAGATGTGTCTCAAAACTCTGTACCAAAGAAGTGAGAAAGCAACACGAGAACACACATAGCCACTGTTTATTCACAACTACAGTTTGCACCACTAAATCATGGAGGAGATTGAATGATCCTTGCTGCATTTCAGAGAGGATGGGTCTATTTCTCCGAAAGCGACAATAACCTTGCATTATATGTAATAGAGCCACAAGGACAACTGAATTAAAAAAGCTATTGACTTGGTTTGTGTGTTGTGAGAGGTCCATTAAAATGCACCACCACAGGCTACAAAGGGCCATGGTCAGCCAGACATGCTCTGCTTGTGCCAAAATAACTCCACTTTGACACTGTCTCATCGAAGAGTCACTGTTGTGTCAAAGTGAAAAGATCCATTTAGTCTACAGGAACTTTTCAGTAGATATTCTTAATAAATTATCCCTGATTTAATTTTATAGTATAGAGTTCAGGTGTCAACACAGGAAACAGTTTGTTTATTTTTTATTTTCAATCATTTCATTTAGTGAACGACTCTGAAAGTGATCAGAAGTCATGTAGGATAAGATTTGCAAGGTTGGTGCTAAATCCCCCAGCATCATCTTTGTTTTTCTCAAGTAATGATGTCACTGCTGGGTCGACTACAAATAGCAACCTGTCACGGACACTATTGGGAATATGAGGCACCATTCATAGTAATTGTATGATAGAACATGTACCATATCTTATTTCTGCATGTTTTTAATGACTTATTATGAAATGCTTTCCCCAGTAATGATATAAATGATGTCCTTATTAGAAGGACGATATCCAGTTTCAATAATGAGCATACTTTCTATGTAGTGACCTTTTTGTTTTGTTTCAGTATTTTGTATAATATTACTGGAACAAGGCAGACTTAACGAAAGTCTATGATGCACACAGTTTAGGCTACAATGCTAAAGATCCTTCAAAAGTGTGTGATTCATATTTTAAGCAGCCTGGATTAAACAGTGGACACATTTCAAACACAGCTGACCCCCATTGCAAATCAATCTCTACCTTTCGTGGTGTTGATGCACTGACACTGAACTCACACTACACGCACTTAGGTCACTCTCTTCTCCTCTCAATGCAAATGGATTTTTGGTCACTAATCTCATATGTGCTCACTACATAACATCCCTTGTTACTGCAGGTTGGTACCTTATGATAGTTCAAGGCCAGAGGAGGCAAAACCTATGATTGTTTGTTTTGCGTGTGTTCTCAATTAGAGCCAACAGCTGAGGCAGATGGAAACTGGTTACATAAAGCTGCTCCATTTTTTATTACACCAATCAATAACTATGACCAATCTTTCAACAGACAGCATTTTTTGTTTTAAACCTTTACAACACTAATACTTTTAAGAAAGAATACTATTTAATTGTTTGCCGTCATTTTACATATCTACCTTAAAGTAATATTTAGATTTGTTGTACACAACAACAACATCAGTGTAGTATTATATACTTTAGTTAAATCAAATGAAGTCAGCGATACAGATCACGTCATCTACATCCTGCAATCTCCAATAGCAGAAGAAGCAAAACAAATATTTAATAACCATAATAATAATAATAATGATAATACATGCAGATATTGTTAATAATAAATAACTGTATTTCCCCGTAATTTAAATTAATCTTATTAAAGGACATCAATTTATTTTTACTTTTGAAGTGACTTCACATAAGTTATGCAGAGAGCAGATTTATTTTTCAGACAACATCACTTTATGAGTTAATTATAAATATTCCCTGCCTATTACACCTACCTGTTGGTCATTGCGTTGCAAATTGTCCGCGTCCTTGTTGTTATGAGTCCCATATGCTCCACACATGCACACTGCGTCCCTTTTATTCTTGCTGTTCTTTTATTAGGTTCACATAGCTTCCCGTCTGGCGATGCAAATTCTGCCATAACCCTCTCCAGCAATACTGAAGTAGATGTTTCTCGTTGGATAGACATACTTTAAAAACACGTGTGCCTATCCCCGCCCCTATCACTGTAGCGACCAATTAAAATGTGCAGCGCCTGTTTGAGGGTCTGAGCCCACATGGTGGGTTTACATGATCGGTCTGAGTGTATGACAGGGAGAGTCAAACCCACTTTTCTCTAAAGCCATGACGTTGATTTAACAGGAAACAAACGTCAGATTGAGAACAGGGCATCTCCAGAGCCGCTAAAAAACACACTGTATACATTTGTGAAAGTATTCAAAGTATTAACTTGAGAATTCGTTTTTGTCCTACTGTCTGAGAATAGGAAAATATGTTGGTCATTGTGGAGTAAATCCTATATGTGAAATCTGTGACTTTCCAAAATAAGCATCACTGCTGGAGTGCTTTTGAGTGCACTCGGTGAACACAAGGTGGCGATGTATATCTGCAAATAGGACAACCAAGGGCTGGCATCACATAATGTGGTGACATTATTATTATAATTCATGTTTCATGAGTTTAAAAGGCAGCTTTTATTTGTGTTCTATGTTATTTGAAAGATTGGATATATTTTTTGTTAAAGTATAAAGTTGACTTATTGATTATTCTTGTATTTATTGTTATTATAAATTATTATACTATGGTGTCATACGTTAATTTTGTATTTTTTGTGTTGTTGGAAAGTCAGGCATTGAGAACGTATTTACTCAACCAGAACATTTTTTATGAATGTCAACAAATTACATTTGTGGTATTGAATTTTATTCATCTCAATCATTCAAAACAGATTATTATAACCAATGTCTATGAATTCACATATAAATATATTTACAAGAGCACACCTTATCACACTGTCCATCACCAATCATCCTATTTTTAATCACAAACAGGTTTGCTGCATCACATCTCCAGTGTTGTGAGGATTCCTTCTGCAAGTGTTCCTCTTGCCCAATGCAACGAGAGGACTGCGGGACAGACTGCCCTCTACAGGACATCCCCTCCTGTCCAACTCCTCTGCACTGAGCAGTGGCACAGGAACCCACGTGGTCACATTGAATAGAGCGTAGTCCACCTTGTAGTGCTTCTTGCCCAGTTTCAGCATGTCCTGGAAGCGCTGGCCCCAGCGGATGTCTGCTGGTGTGTAGGAGGTTCGAGACTGGTGGAGTATCCCCGTAGAGTCACCGTTGTAGGTGAAAGACACCACCAGCTCAAAGTCTTCCCCCAGCAGGTCGTCAGGGCCCATGCTGTAGAGGGGACTGCCAGGCTCCAGCTTGTGGACAATGGTGGCTGGAGTGGCGAGGACAATGTCTTGATCCTGGATGTGCACGTCCTGGTATGACATCACAACAGATCCCCCTGGCTGTTTCATATAGCGGACTAACATGGCCTTGACGACACCCCCCAGGATGTGATTTCCCCTGAAGTCCCCAAGTCGCCATGACAGACACAGAACCCCGTCCCGCAGGTTGACCACCGCACAGCTGCTGAAACCAACCGTCTGAGCTCTCTTACGAGCGGAGGCCATTTTAGCAACAACAATACCAATGACGATGGTGTCCAGGAGGCAGCTGAATACATCTTGAACCGTCACCAAAATAATGGCCACCATACAGTTCTCAGTCATCCCCCTAAAGCCGTAGCCAATCGTCGCCTGGGTCTCCATTGAGAACATAAAGGCTCCAGTGAAGCCACGCACGTTTTCCACGCAGGGACTGTTGGATACATCGTCAATGTCACCGTGTACTTTCGCAATGAGCCAATAACAGAGACCAAAAAAAAGCCAAGATAGAATATAAGACAGAGAGAAACCCAGGAGCGTCACCCTCCAGCGGATCTCCACAAGGGTGGTGAAGATGTCCATGAGGTATGGGGTCCAGTATCCAGGGGCCGTCTGGAAAACCACTGGGAACCTGCCATCTTTCTGCATGTAGCGCAGCCGCCTGCCCTCATTTTTCCTGCCCAGTGTGTGGATTGTGGTGAAGTTGGTATCAATGATGACTTGCTCACTCCTCTCTGTGCTCATTTTGAATAAAACTGCCTCTCAGACTCCTGTATGAAGAAAAATGAAATGCGAAAATGCATGTTAGGATGACAAAGGAGCTGGAGTGAATGCATTTTACCCATTACATGTGACTTAAATGGTACATTTTCTCAGATTTGTTTGTTCAGCTGAATCCTTCATGATTGAGTGAGCAACCGAGGTCACTCCGTGCCTCGGGCTGTCAGAAGCAAGCGACTTGAGCAGTGCCCAGCTCAGGGTGTGAAAAATGTACTTCAAGATCAACATTTCTTTACTGGTTGATTATTTACCACATGTTCCATGTTGTTTTTGATTTCTATACACTATGTATATTGTTTTGTGGTTTTTTGTTGACTTAAACATACAAAAGAACAATAATTTCGTTTTCTTTTAGACACTCTTTTT